AGTGAAGAAGTAGATGTGGCATTTGAATGTATTTTAATATTATTATGGTGTATATATGTGGTATATATGATACATATGGTATATATGCTATATTTATATATATGTAAACATACCTTTAAATGCCAAACATAATGTGTTCCAGTAATGCCAGTTGAGTTTTTGATAATTAATATTAAAATATTTTAGTGAAGTTCAGTAAGCTCAAGATACGTTTTCTTTTTGTAAATAAAATATTTTCAATAAGCATGCCTCTATAATAATAATTTGAAACAAAATGTCTTATTAATCCTTTTATGTTTGGAGATAAACTAGAAACCTTTCAATTTCAGCACAAGTAAGAAACTCCAAATTACACCCTCACAATAAAGTGCTTTTTCATCTACCCTCTTACACATGGTTCTTCAGGAGAGGAAAATGCCTTTACGTTGTTTTAACTCATCCTTACATATACGTCTTAGAGATTATTTTCTCTCTAGAGCAAAAATGTGTTTGAAACTTGAAATTAAAGAAACTATCCTTTAAAAAACAGAATTCAAAATCAATTAACTTAAAAAAAGAAGCTGTCTCTTGAATATCACTGATTAAACTTAATAAACGGGTTAAACTGTTACATATTTTACTATTTTTAGTTGAATAGGCTGATTGTCCATTGGCAGTTAAACTAACAAAAAATAATAGAAAGTTACAAAAGAAATGTGAATCAATGGTATTAATACCCTGTAAGTCTCCAGGATACCCAATAATTTCTAGGTCCTAGTTAACAGTGTTGAACTAAAAACATGTCACTGGGCCTCCTTAATGTTTTCAAAGACATTTTTATTAAAAATATATCAGTTCTCTTGGCTCAAGTCACGAAACGTCAGCAGAACAAATGGCGGGTATCTGCACTTCTGACCGTTGAGGAACAATCACACTTCTGCTTGTTTTTACAGAACTTCTATAAGACTGAGCTGAACAAGGAAGAGATGTACATACGGTACATTCACAAACTCTATGACCTGCATCTCAAAGCACAGAACTTCACAGGTAACTCTGTCTTCTGGCTCAGNGGGAGAAAAACCAAGTTTTCTGTAAGCTTTCTCAGTTGTCTCCTTCCTCCTGGCCCTGGGCACAAAGTCTCATAAGTCTCCTCAAAGGAAAGCCTTTGCCCTTTTCCAAAAGAGCCTGTTTCCTCCTGTTTCCATCTTCTTCACAGCGCCTTCCGATTGGGGGAAACAAATAACTGTGGACCCTAAGTCCACTTCCTCGGTTGATACATCAGAGAGATCATTTCCTTGGATGGAGGAATCCCCCCACTGCCCCAGGTGTGTTTAGTCCCCCAGGAGGACTTTCACCTGAGACAAAGAACATACCTACTAGTCTTGCACTGACCAGCACGAGTCCTTATAGAAAATGTACCATTTGAAAGTTCCAACTTTGAACTAGCACAAGAGTACTTATTATTAAAGGACCAGGCGTATAACATTGAAGCTAACCTGTCCAGCGTCTCCTCCGTAGGGAAAGTTCTCGGCACTTTCTAGCAGCAATATGGTTCTCTTCAGCGACTCGCTTGCTCTTAGAGACTTTTCTTAACACTGGGAAGATCAGTTCAGGAGAGCTCTGGTTTCTTTACAGGATCAGAGTTCCACTGTCGTGTTAAATTGATAAAAATGCATAATCTTTGACATGAGTAATGCTAGGAAATGTAATTATTGTTTTGTTCTTTGTGTCACAAGTTTTGCCAGACATATGTGAAGTATTCTCATCTGCTGACGGGAGAGATGTTTGTTTGTTGTTTTTTTTAAAGAACTATTCATTTACAGAGTGATCGCTTATTTTGTTCTCCAAGAAAGCTGCTTCTTACCAGAAAGCTATTAGAGCAAATCATCCTTTAATAATGTGAAAACCTGCTGTGGGGTTGTTAGACTTGTGTTTATGGTACAACAATTCTTGCTAATTAAAATGATTTTGGTTATCATGAGAGCTGCGAATAGTATTATTTACTTAATTCTTTAAAGAATGCCAAGATTTACAGGACATGAGAGGTACGGGGGGGGGGG